TCTGAGTATTTATTATTACGGTAAGTAATTTCATTTTATATAAAAATTATTAATTATCAATTATATTATACGAAAAAAAAATTACAGGGACAAGTAAAATGTACTAGAGATGGTAGTAATTGGCATTCATCCTCCGCAGTCCGCGCAGTCCGCCCTAGGGTTCAAAGCGGCGACTTGCTGAATGCTGACTGGAGAGACTGGAGAGCAGAGCAAAAATGGAGGAACGCTGCAAATTCTGGCTTCCTAAAAAGAGCAGATTTTGTGCAAACGCGCCTCTAAAGAACTCCTCGTAAGCTCAATCTATCTCCTCTTACTCTCTAGTTTTCTGAAATCTTCGAGTTCTAAGTAGCTGTAAAATTGAATTGTTTCAAGGTTCTGTGGCAATCACACCACAAGGTCTGACGGCCAGTGGATCCCCTGCCCAATCGATTCTTCGCAGTAATATTCCTTCTTTGTAATTTCCCACTTCACATTTCAACTAAATATACTACTAGTTCATTGAATGTTCATCATGTTGTTCATTTTTTTTTTTTTTTTTCATTTTCCTTTGCTTTTTTCAAAGCTCTGTGCTTGAAGAAAATCTTGAAGGACATCTTAAGAGATGCCCATTACTTAAACAAGCTCAATCTTTGAGTAACCAACCTTTTTACCAAAAGGGTATCAATGCTGGGAAGGAATTAGAAGAGGAAGCCTTGAATCCCTCTGGGTTTCAAGATAATGTTACTTCTGAAATGAAGAGGAATGCTGTTCATGGATTGAGTGTGCCTGAATTCTTTGAGTTGATTCGGAAGATTGAGTCAGTTCATGTTTTAATTTGTAAGGATATTAGAGATTCGTTTAAGGTACCAGAAGCATGCAGTAGATGGATCAATAGAGAAGTAGACAGGTAATGCAGCTTTAAAAAATTTGATTTCTTGGGTTGCTTCGAATGGAAATTGTTCAGTTAAAAGAGAATTGATTCTTTATAGGAAATTACCCTTTCAAGAGAAACATGTTAAGCAACAGGCATCAATTCTTGGGAACTTGGAAGATTTCAAGGTTTTGAAGAGTTGTGATGATGGAGAGCAGTGTCAATGTGTAGAACCTGAAGATGATAGTAATGATAATAGCAATAGTGTTTCTGCAGTGGTTGAGTTTGGAGCAGGGAGAGGGTACTTGACACAAATGCTTGCAGATTGCTATGGGATTAGAAGGGTCTTTCTAGTTGAGAGAAAGTCATACAAGCTGAAGGTTAGTTGAATTGAGATCAATTGTTAGCATTTTATGAGAATTTAACACATTAGTTTCATGTAATCTACTCTAGAGTCATTCTTTAGCATTTTGAACTTTGCTTGATTTGTCATTCTCTTTATTATTATTATTTTTTTATGCTATGTCCATGTTATTTCTAGGCCGATCGATCTTTGCGACAAAAAGAGAGCTTGATTTTAGAGCGTTTGAGAATTGACAGTAAGGTTTTTCAGATTCTTGTTTTTTGAGAACGATGTGTATAACTCCTCTTTTAGATCTCTCTTGTCTTTTCATTTGCATGCCTTAGTTATTTCTAATCAGGATGACTGACTGGTTTTATATATATGACAGTTGTAGTTAGTGATTTGAAACATTAACCCACACAAAGCATACCGTAGAAGTTTAAAACATTTATAAAACATCCACTTAAAAAGCTAAGAGATGCAGTTGCATTTGTGATTTTGGGTTTTACTTCATGTGAACTTGTAAACTTCTATTCATGTTCACACAATAGTCTTACAAATTTCAAAGTAGAAGCATCAAGCATAAACTTCTGCTCAGATTAACATGCATGTGAAATTTGAAGAGTGCATATATGAATGATAATGTGGTTGCAAGTTGTTTGTGCATTGACAATTTACTTAGAAGAGTTCATATTTTGGATTGTGGATGGATTTTCTAGTAATGATGCTGGTCTTTGTTTCAACTATGTGACAATGATGGCAGCAGGTGAATGTGAACTGTGCATTGGAGCTAGTATTTGTCATTGAGCAAGCAATGGAGATGATGGCATATTAGTTATGCTTCATAGCCTGCTTCAAAGGACTAAGTGCTTTTCTCTCGCATCTTTTCCCAATGAAAGATGGATCTTAGAAATTCAGTTTCAAGGAGCCTACCAAAATTCGATATAGCTGCTACCTTTGGTGGTTGTTCCTCCAAAGGGGTAATTAACTGCAGACCAAGTATTTTGTGGCATTTGAGTCAAGCGTACACTAAATTTGGCCAGCAGACATTTTTACTTCTATGGCTTTCAGGCCTCTATAAGCAACTGTGTAATAAGTTAACAGAAGTCAACTAATCTAACCATTTGATTGTAGACACTTTTGCTCCTATACTGCCTTCCACTCTCTCTGGGATCCTATCATTCATGTAGTCACTTGCATAAAGAATGCAGAAAATGTTGTTTACTCAAATTTCAGTTTTTTGGATGCATATCATATAATAGTTTGATCATTGACAGTTTATTTACTTGCATATGAAATGGAACCATGAAAGTGGGCATTGCATTCCCTTTCATTCAGTTTAGAATGACATTATAAATTTCTATGTTTACAGTTGAGGACCTGAATCTGAAAGCTGTTGAATCACTACACCATCTTCCTTATCTTGCCATTGGTAAACATCTGTGTGGGCCTGCAACAGGTAATTGATTTCTTTCTGCCATTGATTCAAATGTGTGGCTAAGAGTCGTGGTGGATTTTTTATCTAAGTAACTAGTGTTCGGTGAATCCAACATTTACTTCTGTTTTTTGTTATTGAAATCCCTGCAGATTTGAGTCTGAGATGTTGCCTGGCAACTTCAAACAATGCTGAACAGTACAGCAGTAATCTTTGCCTAAGAGGTCTGGCAATAGCAACGTGCTGTCACCATCTCTGCCAATGGAAACACTATATAAGTAATGAATTTTTTCTGACTTGATTCTCTTTAGCATTTGACAATCAACTTTTCTTTTTGATCTGACTCTGTACTTGGACCTCCCAACAGATAAAATATACTTCACCAGTTTGGGAATTAGCAGGGAAGAATTCCATGCTATTACTTGGTTTACCAGCTGGGCAGTAGACGCCAATCACAGTTCAGATCTCTCTGATGTTACAGACGACAGATTGCATCTTGAGCCAGTGTAATTAATGAAATTTACTCCTGCATTTATGATAACTAAGATTCTAAACCAAGAAGTGGAGCAGTTTTTCATCTTTACACGTGTTGTTCCTAATTCGTTTTCCAATTCTATGACAGTGAGAAGGAAGAATCAAGTGCGAATGCTGATGCCAGTGGAGTTGAAGGCACCGTGAGGAATATGAAAGCTATTGAGAGGGCAAGATTAGGGTTTATGTGCAAGGAAATAATCGACATGGGGAGGTTGATGTGGGTCAAAGAACATGGATTAGAAACAAAGCTTGTTAAGTATGTACCCTCAAGCATCTCTCCAGAAAACCATTTACTAATTGGCAGACACAACTCTCACAATCACTTCTAAGATGCCATTTTTATTTGTCCATGATCACATGTTGTTAGATTAACAATTTTGCTCAATTATAGGTATTTTTGAGATATTTTTGTTGCCTTTCCCTGAATAGAACATCTTCTGTTGTATACACATATTTAACCATGAAAGCTTAAAATAATCATCCAGCAGAGTTGAACACTTCTTGCATGACTTTATCATGTAGATGAAGCATTAGTGTTTACTGCCACCAAGGAAGCATAAAAACCATCTCTGATTTTCATCAGAGCTTCATGGTTTCCTTTCTCTACAATGACTCCATTTCTTGCTACTCCAATAACATCTGCATTCTTTATGGTAGATAGCCGGTGAGCAATTACTATTGTTGTTCGGCTAACCATGACTGTCAAGTGCGTCCTGAACCACGTGCTCAGATTCAGCATCCAGGGCACTAGTAGCCTCATCTAGTAGTAATAACTTAACTTCTAACTATGACACGAGCAATGGCTACCCGTTGTTTCTGTCCACCTGATAGCTGAACTCCACGGTCTCCTACCACAGTGTCATAGCCCTACACTATAATAGAGTAAAAAAAGAACATGATTTCTGAATTAAGTTATAAAGTTTGGACTGTGCTCTAGAAACTAGAATGGTCTAACCTGATGCAACCCACTGATAAACTTGTGTGCATTTGCCAACTTCGATGCATCTAAGATTTCAGCCCCAGAAGCATTTCCTTGTTTTCCATAAGCAATGTTGGCTCGGATGGTGTCATTGAAGAGAACTAGTTCTTGCCTCACAAGACCCATCTGCTGCGTCAACCACTTCACTTGGAACTTTCGTATTTCAACACCATCTAAAGTGATAAGACCTGAATCTGGGTCATACAATCTCTGCAATAATGAGACAACTGTGGATTTCCCACTTCCACTTTCTCTAACCAAAGCAACTGTCTGGGAAAAAAAAAGAAAAAAGGCACCATACCAGTTCAGACATTGTCATTATGTTCTGATCATGTTGAACTAATTACTTGGGACAAATTGGGTTCTCAAACTCATTTTGATGATTCCCTTGCCAGCAGGAATGGGGAAGCTCAGGTCTTGGAAGATTTGAACGTCTGGCCTCAATGGATACTTAAAGCTGACATGCTGAAACTCAATTTCTCCCTGCACATTTTCTAATGTCATCCCTGACTTATCACTTGGATCTATCTTAGACTTCCTATCAATAATTGCAAACATGGAAGAAGTAGCACGCCTGGTTTTGGTGGAATCAGAACCCAAGGAGTTTGATTGAGAAACTCCAATAGCTGCCACAGCCAAAGGAAAAAAAACCTGCAGCACAAGATATTAATGAATTCAAGTTATGGAAGTGTTGAAGGTAGTTTAATCAAAGAAACTTGAGGCTTGAAAGGTGGACCAACTTAAAAAATATCCAACAATGTTGCATGATGATGCTCAACCAATTTAGCTCCTGCATAAAAATTAATAGCAAAAACAGAAGATAGAAGGAATAAAGAAAGCCCAAATCCTATCCCACTGATCAACCCCTGACATATCCCTGTCTTCAATGGACCTTCACACTTCATTTTATATAGGTTCATCACTTTCTTCTCTGCACAAAATGAAGCAACTGTTCTTATACTCCCAGTTGCATCATTAGTGACTTGGCTTGCTTCCTCATATGTCAACCGCAATCACCATTTTTAGTTTTAACAGAATCATTAACTTGGAATCGAAACATTAGTTTAAAAGAAAATATGTATACTTTTGCATCTGCACTGAATCCCTTCATGAACTTTACTTGAACATAAACATTAATCCCAAGCAAAGGAACTAATGCGAGAAGAATCAATGCCAACTGCCAACTCATATGAAAAGAAATGACCAAAGCTACTACTTTTGATGCAGCGTTTGAAATCATCTCAGCAAGAGCATCTCCAACAAGAGAATGAACGGTGGCTGCATCTGCAGAGAGTCTTGCATTAATGAAACCATTGGAGTGCTCAGGTTCATCAAACCAACAACCCTCCATGTGCACCACTTTCTCAAAGCACATTGATCTGATCCTCTGGATTAGTTTACCTCCAGCCACAGCAAAGAAGTATGTTCATGCCAGATATGTCAACATTGCTGCTAGGCCAAGGATTAAAAATATCACGGCCAAGAATCTGGCATCCTTTTTCACTTCTTTAGGCGTTTCAAATGCAGTGATTACATTGAAAGTATAAAGCCAAACATGGGAAATGTTGCACCTTGGGAAACTGCAGCTATAGTGCCAAGCAGGAGAATAGGAATCTCAAGCTTGTTTAGAGCTATAAGACGGCAGATGGAGATGGGAGTCTGTTCTGGTGATGAGGCAAGAGCGGCATCTGAATCTGTCACTGCAGCAGAACTAGCAAAAGGAATTGGAAAGGAGTGGCAACTGCTGTCTCCCACTCCAGATGGTTCCTGGTTGATTAATTGCCTCATAGACATTCTCATGCTTGGTTGTTGAAATGATGCCATGGTATTTGATCTGTCTAGATGTTCTGTTTGCTTCTTTAACTCTTTGTTTACTTCTTGTAAATGGATGAGGTGAGAGTAAGCTCCATCTAGATCCTGAAAGGAATTCTGAATGTGACCCTGCTCCATTCACAAAAATCTTATTATTTTTAACCATTGCAAGAAAGAGAAGATTTCATCTTCCCTAGAAAACTGTTTTGAGAATGTTAACAATTGATAC